CCCTTAAACCTTACCCTAAAGCGAGTTACGGCTTCCTAAAGATTCTATTAACTCTTTTCTACGACCGTACTCCACTAGTTAGTTAGGGTAAGATCCTTTTAATTACTTAAGCCTCTACTACCGCTACTACCGCTACTACTACTACTACTACTACTAAGTTAACTATACTACTAAGTTAACTATACTACTACCGCCGCTACTACTACTACTACCGTTAATTTAATTATTTATCGGATACTCCTAGGGTAACTTTTAATTACGAAAAAGAATAAATTAAGTATACGTTCGTACGGTAATTAGAAAGGAGAATTTAATAACCCTTATACGAAAAGTTTAAGTAATAGGAATAAAGTTTAGTTAATAAGGAAAAAGCTTAATAAAATCGCCTAATCCGGTTAAAGGTTAAGGTAAGGTATAGGGGATTAATTAGGCTAATTTAAGACCTCTAATTATATAGATTCCGGGAGTCTATAAATCAGCCTAACTAGTCCCCTAAACCTTACCCTAAAGTAGGTTACGGATTCCTAAAGATTCTATTAACTCTTTCCTACGACCTTACTCTATTAATTAATTAGAATAAGATCCTTTTAATTACTTAAGCCGCTACTACCGCAACTATTACTAAGTTAACTTTACTAAGTTAATTATACTACTAAGTTAACTATACTACTAAGTTAACTATACCACTAAGTTAACTATACTACTAAGTTAACTATACTACTACTACCATTACTACTATTACTACTACTACCGCTTATTTAATTATTTATCGAGCGTTCCTAGGGTAACTTTTAATTACGAAAAAGAATAAATTAAGTATACGTTCTTACGGTAGTTAGAAAGGAGAATTTAATAACCCTTATACGAAAAGTTTAGGTAATAGGAATAAAGTTTAGGTAATAGGGAAAAAGCTCGGCAAAATCGCCTAATCCGGTTAGAGGTTAAGGTAAGGTATAGGGGACTAGTTGGGCTGGTCTGAGACCTTAGATTCCAGCCCCTCTGCATTTAGGTACCTAAGTGGTATGCGGTCGGGCGGTCGGGCAGGCGTGTGTTATGTGTTAGGCCACCTTAGGTACCTACCTACACCTGTCAAGGTACCTAAGACAGATGCCTGAAACTGGAAGTACCTATCTCTAACCCGGGCGGTATGTCGCGCCATGTTTGGATAGTGGAAGGTACCTACGAGCAGGTATCTTAGGTTAGGTACCTAAGGCATCGGCGCTCTCTCAGGTACGCAGGAGGTAGGTAGGCGGCAGCTTTTTTACTCATATATCGGGTGGGAGTTCCGGTTTCTGCGAATTAATTCCCGGAGGGCATCTCTAGCTGTCTATCAACACCCAGCCTACCTGCCTCCTCCAGTCCCTCCTATCCAGTCTCTCCCGCCGATAAAAACAAGAAGAGAGAAAAGGAGAGAGGAATCCCACTTCGCCTTCGGAGGCTAGACGCCGCATCCTCCTCGCCTACTATATATGTAGGTATGCCTTACCTACTCTTACTGCTCAGCAGCCTTCCATGACTCGGATGCGACTTGTAACTGGACGAGTATGTCGCCGCCAACGTCCTCCGCGCCCCCCCCCCCTTCCGCCCTCGCCTCGCCTCGCCTCGCCTCGCCCCGGTTAGTTTACCGTCTATTCAGAACCGCCCGGCCGCCAACATACTGCGTAGAAGGCAAGTCCAAAGGCCTACGGTGTCATTCCATTCGCTGAAACCGTGCCTGGGCGACTTTCCCCTTCCGGCGTGTTTGCTCTGTGTGACTGGGTGTATCAGCCATTAAGGCGACGATGGCAGACCGCCCTTGAAACAGCTAACCTCGGTGCTGTATCAGTCGAGTCTGCAGCTCGCCAGGATGCCATTGTCTAACGAGCATGCATGTGTCGATATATATCCAGTCTGCATGTGTTACTTACTGCCTAGGAGGAGAATGGCCTTCTTACAGAGCGTTGCCGTATTTCACACTTGATGCATGCGCTAGAAACCGACCCTCGTCCCGAAGCCAGAATGCTGCAGAGTCCTGAGGAAGAGAGCGATTCAGCCACGAGTCAGCGGCGATCGTAGAGCCATCCTCTCTATAATGCCTCCCCCCGTCGTCCTATTCGGCTTTGCCTTTGACTTTTGTTCCATAAAATAAAACGAAACAAAATAAAATAAAGTCAAGCAAGGTGGCGGATTCGGCCAGGCCAATGCCGTCGAGTAAAGGAAGACATAGGTATCGGCGCAGAAACTTTGCCATCTACCTAAGTCGGGATTGAAGAGAGGGGGGGGAAGAGAGAAAAAGAAAACAAACGATGATCCGATGCATACAACTAATAACTTAGGGAGGGATTTTGCCACCTCGACTCAGTCAGTTGATGCGCCACCATCCTCTGCCGCCTCCCGTCGACAACACGACGCAGTCGTCGGGTAGTGGCAATATTTCTTGCTCACCTTTCGCAATGCCTCGGGAATGTGCCTATCGGCGATCGTTGAGCCGTCGGCTACCCGACTTGGCCCGGCCGGCCTGCGTACATGCCTACCTACACGGCGAACAGAAGGATATCACATGTCGGGTTCCCCGGAGCGCCTTGATACGGGCCGACGCCATGTTTGCTGTTCCTAACAGTGAGGTTCAACCAACCAAGAAAGACGACGTCTGGATCCTCGGTCGGGGAAAGTCGAGTCCTGTTTCTACCCGTTGCCCTGTGCCACCAGATTGTTACTAGAGTATGATGCCTTTCCTATACTATATATATATATAGTATATATATGTGTGTGTGTGTGTGTGTGTGCATAGGTATATGCACGTAAGTGCGGGCTGTCGCGGTCTCAGCCTCCTCCCTCATCGCTCCCATAAAGGGGATACAAAAGTCCGAAGAAAGAGAGGGAGAGAGAGAGACGAGCCTTGCTGAGGCGACTTCCTGTCTACAGCGCACTACTTCCGTATGTATGTCCCCTGCATTATAGTATATGGCAGGTTACCGCAGAGGTCTTAGATCAGCCTAACTAGTCCCCTATACCTTACCCTAACCTCTAACCGGATTAAGCGATTTTACCGAGCTTTTTCCCTATTAATTAAACTTTATTCCTATTACCTAAACTTTTCGTATAAGGGTTATTAAATTTTCCTTCCTAACTACCGTACGAACGTATACTTAATTTATTCTTTTTCGTAATTAAAAGTTACCCTAGGAGCATCCGATAAATAATTAGATTAACGGTAGTAATAGTAATAGTAGCGGCGGTAGTAGTATAGTTAACTTAGTAGTATAATTAACTTAGTAGTGCAGTTAACTTAGTAGTATAGTTAACTTAGTAGTAATAGTAGTAGTAATAGCAGTAGTAGCGGTAATAGCGGTAGTAGAGGCTTAAGTAATTAAAAGGATCTTACCCTAACTAACTAATGGAGTACGGTCGTAGGAAAGAGCTAATAAAATCTTTAGGAAGCCGTAACCCGTTTTGGGGTAAGGTTCAGGGGACTAGTTAGGCTGATCTATAGACTCGGTTACCGCATAGGTATATAGGTAGTAAGAATCTAGAAGAGAAGAGGCATATTATAGCAGAGGCGTTACGAGTCAACCCCCACACACACCCTATCTTCCATCTATTGTACATGCAATATCTCAGTCTAATCCCAACAGCCGCGAACTGGTAAGTCTTGCATGACAACATAATCTCTCCTGCATCGTAAGATTGCTTAGGGCGACCGTGCGACCTCCCGAGTCCATGCCGTATATGCAAGTCATCGCTCAGCAAAGCCGCAGGCAGACCGAAGGATTCGCGCTTCTAAATTATGCAATCAGTTACCCGGGGATGGTATGCGGTAGTTTGTGGAAAGACGCAGTGTCAGGGGATACTCGGTGGTCGATCTCCATGTGACGAGAGAGGTTATATAAGCTATAATCTGACGTGCGGCCTATATACTAAATACGCAAATATGCACCTAAGAGGTATGTATGTGCGAATATATATATCCATGTGCGTGAAGTTGAGCTGCCGTAAGCATATTCTCATCTATGCATCTTTTCGTCGATTCCTTCCTCCCTTCCTTCGTTCGCTACCCACGGGGGTCGGCAGCTCTCTCAGCTTCAGATCCTTATAAGGCACCTAACACGGTACCTATATTAAGTATCAACACCTTTACTATACGCGCATAATACGACACAGCCGACGTAGGTAGGTATGGGAGGTATGATTTGCGAGGTCTATCCACCCTACTAACGGAGGTCGATCTGCTCCGCGAAATGACAATCAGCAATCAACTAGCGAAATCTCGCTTCTAAGAACTGAGACGTCTAATAAATCCCCTCATATACACTAGACAGGTTTATCCCCCGAATGAGACATACATGCTTGCATATCGGGGTGTTCCCGGGGCGACATCCACACCCTAACTGTCCATCACCGTGCCAATTCTAGCCGCGTTATCAATGTTGGTACTGCTGCCCCTTGAGAAATCCAATCACATCGTCGACAGGGTCGGGTCTGAGAACTACCACGTTGGCGGACACACTCATCATATAGCTGGACGATGAGGGTGAGTTCCACAGGCAGATGCGGCTCAGCTCGGCCGCCGCACCCAGATCGCTCTCGCATGGCGCCATGCGTTGCCTAAAATCTGTCGCAAAGGTCTTTCTGTCGGAAGGTTAAACGCCCAGTCGGCGGGAAGACGCAGCCAATCACGGTGGCGCGGTGCGCTCGACAGGGAGTCGGATGATGCGGGCCAGCCTAGGCTGCGGTAACAGATACAGACGCGGGATGGCAATGCTCAGGGCGAGCGCGGGCATCGGTTATTTCCGCAGTCGACCGATCGATGATTCCAGGCAGTCTCTCGGAGGGATGCCCCAGGTGCTCGTGGCGAGTACGATGTAGGTAGGGGTCACGTCCGCTCAGTCGCGTTGTATTATCATCAACCAACAACTGCTATGTCGGCCGCGAACTTCGCTGCTTATAACGCGACGGTCAAATTGAAACAAAATTCCTTTGCTCTACACCTACGCGCCGGGGAAACCTAGCAGACTGACATGCTAGTTGCCGAGAACCATAGAGACCTAATTACCGATGATTAGACTTGATTAATAGGATCTTCGGCGTTGTTCGGCTTACCGCCATAAACACGCAACAGAGACTCATATACGGGCTTAGCCTCTCCCCTATCCTCGCTGCCTTCCAGAAAATACCCATCAGCCTACAAGCAATTGTGATTAGCGCAGGTTCAGCCGTGGCACGGCGCTCGGCGAGCAGTCCAGCGAGCGAACCCACCCTTGCTTATTCCCGTCGAGAATTGTCGGGAATATTTGATGGACGTAGGCGCAGGTGCAGATGAGGAGGAGGATGACGAGTAGGAGGGACTGGAAGTTGAAGAGCGCAGACTAGTAGTTCCCGGTAATCAGTTATAACTCCCAACTCGAGGGGATTTCTCGACTTACCATCTTAAACGACTTAAGGATACGCTATCTCCACGTCAAGGCGCTCCGGAAACAGGATATGCCGGCAGTCTTCGCAGGTATGCCCCTCTGCTTCTGGGGAGAAGGCGGGGGGGTAGAATTTCTGAGGTTTGAACGCGTTGAAGAGGTCGCTTCTTTCAGCCTTCCCAAAAGCCAGCTGTTGATTTGCCCGAGGCTTACGTAAACTAGGCCGCGTCGATATGTATTTAAACGTAGGCCGTGCGCGACCTAAGTGGCTGGCAGGCTTACCTAATTGAAGTGTTACGTGAGCAGGGGGGTGTTTCCACCAATGGATGTGATCCCATTCAATCCACTGACGAATGCCGTATGCACCTATCCATGCCTCGCCAAGCTTACCTAGGGGAAGGTTTCGGCCCGGGCATCGAATGCGTGGACACTAAGCTGCCCGGGACAAGTAACCTTTGGGGGCGCCTCCCTTAGGTACAGGTATGTATCTCTATGCGTAGGTGCGTACCTCATATACGTGTACACGTATGGGTAATCTACCTGCCTGTACCTGGATGGGTACCTCAGGTATGTAACTCCCTTTAAGCGCATGCATTGGGTTAGGCGCATATATATACACGTGCTGGATAGGTACCTCCAAGATCGGTTTTACCATCTAGAATCGGAATAAGAATCTAACCTAAGCTACGCCGCTTTTAGCCTAAGTCTAAACCTAAGTCTAGCTTAATAAGACCCGCTTTTCATAACCTAATATAAATAAACTTATATAATTTCTAAATACGTATTACCGTAATTACGCTAAAAAGACCGTTTAATATAAAATAAACTTTAATATATAAGTTTAATCCCCTTCTACGGACTATTCCTTCGCGGATTACTTAAAAAACCCTTACTATTACTACCACTACGTAAATAATTAAAGCTATTTAGACTACTAAAACTAATTAAAACCCTCCGATTACGGCGTTACTACCTTAATATAGTTCTCCGCTTACGATCCCTCGTTTTTAACCGTTTCCTACGCCGTTTCTTACTCGTTAGGCATCTCCTCGTCGCTTGCCTCGTCCTTATATACGATCCTACCTTTTAACGATCTTTTCGCTTACCGTATATTAGCTATACGTACGAAGCGCTTACCTAGCGCCGGGAGGACCTTCCGACGGGTCTTAGGAGTACTACTATAGCCTAGTACCGATCGAATTAAATCATAGCTATAAATAACTATAATTAGCTAATCGGCTAGCTAAAAACGGTAGCTAGGAAAAGGAAAAACTAATAAAAATAAATAAAAATAACGAATAAAGGTATAATAAGAAACGAATAAAGAGCTATAGATCCTAATATCTATAGGTTTAAGTTTAATCGATAAAAAGATAAGTACGAAACCTATATAAATATATATTTAAAAGGCTACGTAGCTTAGTTTTACCGTATTATTATAATAATCGAAACTCTTAATATCTAGGATCGTATTACTTAAATCCTAGATTTCGAGGCTAATAAAACTTTATAATAATAGTATATTTTCCTTATCGGGGTTAGCTATACCGCGACTATAAGATAAATCTAATTATATCTATAAAAGGTTATCGATTCCGTTAGTCTCCTAAATAAGTCGGCATTAGAATACGTCGTCGCGTTAGTAGCTATATTATCCGACGCTTAACGTTACTTCTCTTTATATATTTTAAATAAGGCAGCATTACCTTCGCATTATTACCTTCGTACCTATGTTTAAAGTTACGTTACCCTAACTACCTTTAGTCGCGGTAAAAGAATAAACTTAAGTTTATTAATCTACTATTACTACTAACGGATTAATTTAAGCTTCGTAAAGAATTTCCCGTATCCGTAAATATAGTAATTTATCTTCTTATTTCTAACTTTAACCGTTAGGAAATACTATATCGCGTAACTTAATTACGCAAAGGATTAGCGACTAATAATACGGAGTAAAGTATACCGATATAGTCTTATAGAAGGCCTTCTTAGTTATTATTCCTCGCTTTAAGGTAGTAAGCTCTTTTATATCTATATAATTCTATTTATTATATCGAGGAATGCTTTAGTTATTACCTTATCCGTTATAATAGATATAAATCTAAAAGAGAACCTAAAAAAGGACTCGAGGTTATCTATAAAGGAATAATCGTCGCCGGAAAGGATCCCGATTACTATAAAAGCCCTCGTACCGGTTATTTCTTTAGTACTTAATACTTATAATCGATCGGTCTTAATAATAAAATCGAGATTAATTAAAAACAAAGGCTAAGAAAGGTTCTCGTTATCCTTATTAATTATAAGATTATTAATTAAGATATCCCGATAAAGAATACTAGCCTTATATAAAGATTCGTATCCTTTAATATATCCCTTTAACGCCTTAAGTAAGGCTACTTATAAGCTTACCTTATAGATTAGCCTTCCGTAATCGCGTAAAATAATACGTCGGTAAACCCGGTTCGGGAGTAAACTTCTAGGTTTTATAGGAAATACCGAACCCGAACCTAAACGGGACCTCTTACCGGGCGGGAAAGGAACGCTAACTTAATAAGATAAGCGTTTAAGGCTTATAGAACTTAAGCGTAATCGAAAAAACTAAGCTAGGCGCTCTTAGTTATAGTTACTAGCCTTTATAACGTTTAATCCTTTACGAATATAACCCTAAATATCGTCGTTATTATATCCTATATAAACCGTCGCATAGGCGTAATACCGCGCGACATTCTTTACGCGTTTCTCTATTACTACTTTAAGTAATCTACTTTCGTCGTTACGTTCTAGAAATTACCATAAGTCCTTAATAATAAGCGGTACTATCTTATCTCCTTCGGGATACGCTTTCTAATAAGTAGTTATACGGCTTATTATACCTAGTATCCGCCTTATAAAACTATCGATTATAATACGCTTTATCGTATTATTTCGCTTAATATCGATATATTAATGGTAATTTAATTTTATTATAATAAGGTCGAAGCTAAGCGATTAATCGTTTATCTAAAGAAAACTAAGGATAGTTAATATAAATAGCTACCCTATGTTATAAATATCGAATTTCTTAAATGCGATAACGCTAAGCCGGTCGAATTCCTAAAGCCGTATCTAACGTCTATATAAAGTAAAGGCTAAAATAAAGCGGCGAATAAGTTAAGAAATAAATACTTCTTTCGCGAATCTTCTTAGAGTAAGCCGCGCTTTAAAATCTATATTTTCTTTAAGATTATTCTTTAATTCCTTAGGTATTAAGATATATAACTAATCGTTCCCTACCGTCGGGTTATTTATAAAGATAAAATCGGGTTTCCGCTTCGTAACCGAGCCATAAAGCGGTTTATTAAAGTAAATTAACGGCTTCCGTATTATTTTCGGCCTATAATTCTACGCCTACCGGATAATTTCATTATATAAATCGGTTAACTAGGTAATAACGTCGTCCTAGTTAATATCCTCTAGCTATTTAATCTAACGACCTTTTCTATAGCGTAGTAATATCTTATTAATATATTCCTAGAAGATATCTATAAATACTACCTCGAGGTTTAGAATATTACTAAAAAAGGCTTCGTAAAAATTCGGAACATCGACGTATATAACGCTAAGTTTATTTCTAAGGACTTTATTTATATTAACGCGTAATTTAGAGGAATTTATAAAGCTATTTATTTTATATACCGATAGTATTTATAGGAAAAAGGAAACGGGTTTTCGCGGAGGGGTAGATTCGGTAACGGCGTAGTAGACTTATTCCTAGATTTCGATATCGGATCGGTAAATAAGGACGGCATTTAAAAAAGGCTTAATTCGGTTAAGGTAAACGGTATTAAAAGCAAGTACCGGAATAAGATTAAAGATATCTTAACGTAGGTTATTATAACTTATTTAAAAAGGTAGATAGCGGGAGGCTAAGTAGTTAAGGAATATAAAAAAAAGCGTAAGTATAATGGTTTAAAGATCTAGGTATATATTAAAATAATCGATAGGAAGTAAGTAATTCGTATTTACCTTTACGGTTAACTATATCGAATTCGATAGGATTCTAAACGACTACGTTTAATAACGTACGGCTTAAAAGGTAATCCCGAATAATATCTAACTAGTATTAATTTATCGTAACGAGAAAGTATATTTAGCGATAGTAATTAATAAGGAGAGTCGGTATAACGCGTTATATACTCGGTCGGCGATATTTACGTTATTACGGATAATTATATTAATAAGTATACGGATTAAGCTAATATTTAATGAAGCGTTACCTTTCTTATCCCGCTATATGGATTATTATAGGCTTTATTTAAGCTACTAAAGCATAAGTTAATTATTAGGCATTAATTTTAGGATAAAGCAAGGAATAAGCTATAGCTTTCCTATATACGACTTCCTAAGAAATCGCTCGGTTCCCGGGTAAAGGCTAAAGTAAGCTTAAGTAATTAAAGCGCTAACGAAAATATATACTTACTATAAGTAAAATATACCGCGGCTATAACTAAAATAACCGTAAGCGCTCTAAAGCCTAGCTATAAGTACTCTACCTTTATAATAACATTTTATATATCCCCGTTATTTCTTACCTTAAATAGTTATTTATAGCGAATTAATATAGCGTCCTATTCTATTAGCTCTAAGAAAATTACCGCGAAGGATATAATAATTATCGCTAAGGTTTAGGAATACTTTTAAACGAAGCTATTATAGGTATATTCCTTATACTTCCTTTAAATCCCGTCGCTATAGCTAGTTAATGGATTTCTAGGTTAATTAGGAGTAACTTACCGTTAAAGCCGGCTTCGAGGACGGTATTATAGCTAAAGCCTATTATAAGCTATCTCCCGATCTAAATAGCCCCGGCGATACGTTAGGAAAACGATAATACTCTTATAACTAAGCCGCTTCGATACGATTAAGGACCGAAGATAGAAACGAATACTACCCCTATAACCGCTTTACGTCCTATTATTTATCTAACCTTAAGGATAGAAAGGGTTAAACTAATAGCTTAATATGAAAGGCTAAATTAT